GATTTTCCAGTTTCGTGCGATTTCGCCGCGCCTCGCCCCATTCCCGCCTTTGGTCTCCGACTCAAACGGACGAATTTGCGACCAGCTGTTACCAGCTTCATTAACGACATGCACTCAAACAGCTTTCGCCAAATTCTCGACACGAACTCGCGACACCTTTCACGACCAGTACGAAGCGGTTTCGCGAACTAGAATGGTGATCCATGGTTGTGACAGCTGGAACTACGAGGAGCTTGTTCATCGAGGCTGGTGCCCAGTGCTTAGGTTTAGGGATTGACGAGAAGGGGGTGGTGAAGAAACTAGATCTGTACTCGTTTTTGCACAAACAGTGTTGGGCAAGCCGATCTGTAACAAAAAAAATGAGTACTTTTTGACAACAATATTCCACTCATCCTAATTATGTTTCTCTTTTCCAATAGCAGCAGGAAAACCACTGAAAACCACTTTATAAGAAGAATCCCATTGATTTGTCAATGCATTGCCAACTCCTACCATATTTGTACAATTTTTAGCATGAGTATGCTGAAAGGGTGAAAACAAATAATCTAGATATTCATATGTCACAAAATTTCTCCCGCACTACAGCCTCAGGCAAACTGAGGGGACACCTTGTGAGTTGCCTTCCCTCAGCTCTCTGCTTCACCTTTTCATGCTAGACCGGTCCATCTGCAAATGCCACTTTCATTCCAGCTGAGACATCCTCAATATTAGTTGGATCTCTCGCAATCATCATCCTCGTCTCGCTGTATGGTGCCGTTGCTCCTCCACTCCATTCAATGCACGTCCTTGGGAATTCCACAAACCACACGCTTCTCCTGCAGTTGAGACTTCCCTACCACGCTGCTTCTGTTGTTGATTATCCTCGGACAGAAATGTGACTGTTGTGGCTCTGCCATTTGTTTTCAAATTCTGCTAAGCTGAAGGGCAGGGGTAAGGAGGGAGTGGGAAAGGAAACAATACTTGGACAAGTAGAGAGAACAGAACACCAAGCGGATTGGATTGAACAAACACAAACGAGAGAACCGGTGGATTCTTCACCTGAAGCGAATTTGGTTGATGCAGGGAATATAGATCCGATTGCAGGGATATAGTTCAGTTGGTGAACTGATTCCTTGCTATAGAAAGCCAGGGAAGAACTAAGAAAGAACAGAGAGGTTTAGCTTGTAGCAAAGATCTGGACAAAGGTTACATGTTGTTTGATGTGGTCGTCGAAGTGCTATGTTGTCTCTCACTCAGCCTGCCTTATCCGCCTCCTTTGCTGCACTCATACTTTACCACCACAACACTGCTTGGAGCGAAGAATTGAGATGGAGAAATTAGGGTTAGTGACTGAAGCAAGTCGCAGCTGGAGTCAGAGTTACTATGAGTCACCGAAACAAGTCAATGGCATCCAATAGCTGGAATCAGCTAGCATGAAAAACGCCTCATGGGAATCGGCAACTGAAACGAGTCACCAAAACAAGCCATGACTGGAATCAGCTGGCATATAAAACGAGTCATGGGAATCGATAAATGAAGTGGATCACCAAAACAAGTCCATGTTATCAAGTGACTGGAATCAGCTAGTATGTAAAACGAGTCATGGGAATCGGTGACTGAAAATGGGTCACTGAAACAAGTCAATGACATCCAATGACTGGAATCAGCTAGCATGTAAAACAAATCATGGAAACCGGCGGCTGACATCAGTCACTGAAAGGAAAGAAGTCAACGAGATCCAATGACTGAAATAAGCTAGCATGTAGAACGAGTTATGAGAATCAACGACTAAAATGAGCCACTGAAACAAAGCCACTGGAGCCACTGATAGGAATTTCTAAAACAAGTCACGGAAATTAGTGATTTGAAGTAGTCACTGAACCATGCGAATGATGCGGATTGAGTAACTGAAACAGTCTGCGTCACTATGCCACAGAAGGAGAATTAGTGACTGAAAATGTCACTGAAACTCTTAGTGACTAGAATGTGTCGCTGAAAGAATTCACAGCACTCAATGACTGAATGTGTCACTGGAATCCGTTTTTGGAATGAGTAAGACTGTAGATGGAAATAGTGACTGATCCAAAGGACTGAAACAGGTCACTGAAGTCGGTGACAGGAATAAGTCGCTAGAAGAATTTACGGCACACAATGACTGAATATGTCACTAAAATCAAGTTTTGAAACGAGTAACCACAGTAGGTACACAAAAATAGCGTCTGAACCAAAGGTGTCACTTAAACAGGCCACTTAAGTCAGTAACTGGAACTCGTCAGTAAATAAGTCACTGAAATAAGTCAATAACATTCAATGACTGGAATGAGTCATTGAACTAAGCCACCTTAGTCAGTGACGAGCCCCTGGAACAGTCACTGAAACCAGTGACTGGAATGAGTTAGTGAAACAAGCCAAATTGTGAGTCGTGGTTGGAATGCGTCAGTGGAAAAACTGGCTAAATCCAGTTACTGGAATGTGCCATTGCAATTATTGATGATGCTCAGTGACTGGAATGAGTCACTGAAAACAGGTTGCCGTCAGTCAGTGGAATGAGTCACTGGAATGAGTCTGCCACTGGAACAAGGAATGAAATCAGTTAGTAGATTGAGAGACTAAAGCTAGTCTTTGGAATCTCAGTGACTGAATAAGTCACTGAAGCTGGAATTTGTGACTGGAATGAGTCACTGAGACACTGGTTTCAAGTCAACTACTTACTGGGCGAAGTAAACAAAATGAGTTATATCAGTCACTGCACTCAACTCAATGACTGAATGTGTCACTTCAACAAATCACTGGAATCAGTGAATAGAGTGAGTAACTGAAATGGGTATAGACTGGAATTAGTGACTGATTGGAGAGTGGGTCATTGGAATCAGTTTGGAAACCCACAATAACCATTGCAATCTAAGGCTTGAAGGAGGGAGAGCAGCGAAGACAGTAAAAATGATGGGAAACAGAAAAATGATGGAAGGAGGAATGCAGTGGACACACCAAACAGACAAGTGCTGATTATGTTTCCACATGCACATATTTCTGCAAAATCGTGACTTCATTAAAATCCTTCACCACCTTCACCACCCTTCAGGACAAAAACGTGCAGTAACATACTGTACAGGAGTATTATGTACAAGTGACTAAACTACCAGTTGGGTATCTAGAATAATTCAGAACACAGAAACATCTGATATGGTATGCTACTGTTGTCTCTGTGCCAGCACCACCTTAGTGCTAGTCATCACAGAAACAACTTGCTGTCAACAGAAAGTCATCAGCCAGCTTCGCCTTTCTTCCTTTTTTCGTAGCTCATGCTGCAACAGCAGCACCAGGCGCTGATATTTTCGTCTTGGTCAATCTGGAAATTTCAAACATCACCTTCATTTGTTGCAGCTTTGATAACCCAGTTTCTGCCAAGGAGCTTCCAGTTTCAGTAACTCTTGCTGATCTGGTGCTGCTTGTAGAATTCGCCTCAGGGACCTTCACGGACGTTCTTGAGCATGCAGGCCTTGGGATCTTCGATGGCATGCTTGAAATCGCAGCCAGCGAAACCAATTTCAGTGATCGTTGCTTTTTCTTCTGCTGTGTCGCCTGTTGCTGCCTCTTTGGCAGATCACAGGCGACATGAGCAGCAGCTTTCACCACAGCATTCACAGCAGCTGGACGCAGCGGGGAGAAGTCAGGAGGCCCACCGAAGGACCTCTGCTGGACTCCCTTCAGTTCCTCGTCAAATCTGCCGATCCTATACGCGGCAAAGAACGGGCTGAAGCCTTTCTTGGTCGTTCGGATCCTCCTGGTGTCGGTGTTCGGCCGTCTGTCCTTCCTGCTGCTAACGCTGGTGCTACTGCTGTTGCTTGTAGCGCCAACAGCCGTGCTGGAAGCCATCAGAAACAGATTTGCCATCGAGATTGCTCTTAGGAAGCGGGAGGACGGCGATTCAGTGAACGGGTAGGTCTCGAATACCAAGAAGTAAGCTTGAGCTAGAGAATCAGAGCACGTAACTTGAATGAACGACTGTGATTTGCTCCATATGTAATCGTTTGGAGCTGGAGGAGTCCAGCAGAGGGGAGGAGAGGCGAGGCTATGTGATTCCCCATAGAGGGAAAGGCTCTCGGCATGGCATCCCGAACCGAACTGTGAATTTCGGGTAGGGCAGGAACGATTTCTACGGAAATTCAGGGCAGAGGAACAAGCGCTAATGTACCAGCCACGTCATCATTTCCCATCCTGCCCGTTGTAGTATTTCGTACCTTCGGAGGTGACTGCGAGTTGGAGTGTCATAGTCGGTGTGCGTTGCTGGCACGCCGCGTCAGACAAAACTGGCGGGATAAATCGAGGTCATCATTACGTGCGGAATTCCCGAGGCGGCTCTCTCTGGTTTTCCAGTTTCGTGCGAATTCGTGGCGTCTCGCCCCATGCCTGTTTCAAACGGACACAACTGCGACCAATGGTTACCACCAGGCCTTCAAGCACCTCTAGCCTCAGGGACTTTCACGGATAACCTCGCAAAAGCTCGCAAGACAGTGTGTCGCGAAACTAAAAGTGATATCGCGATTTTGAGCACGAGAAACGTACTTGTGACAGCTGTAAGTACGATCTCATTCAAGAGTAGCGGCTTGTCAGTGATCTAGGGATCGACGAGGAGAGCACGAGAATAAGGGCTATACTCTCTATAGCCCAAAGGGATGTACCTATACCTAGAAAAGTGTGGTGCCATCCTGTTTTCTATGTTTAGGACTTGCATAAGCTTCAATATCAGGAACATCCACAAGTGACTCTTTATATGTCAACGGAAGGACGGTACTAAAATAGGGGGAATTTAGCTTCATGGAGTTGTGACCCAAATGAGTCACTTAAAGAGCCACCAAAACAAGTCTCTAAAATCACTACGGCCCACACAGTAGGAGCCAAAACAAATGGACAAGTCATCAGGGACAGACAGCCTGAAAATAATTATCAGTGGAAGTCTGGATCTACTCGAAACCACGCTGAAAAACCCTTGATATCTGGAGGTCTGGATGAATCCCGTATCACAACCTTTTCTTGGCATGCACGAATTTCTTATGGAAGAGAGACGAAGGCAGCGTGACTCTGGCGAGCAGCAGGCAGGGCACTGCGAGGAAGGGCAGGTAGACGGCCAGCAGCTTCTGACGCGTGGACCAGGGGGATGAGCTCAGTGCGATCTCGGAGAGAATGGGAATCTGCAGGAATGAGGAAGCGGGCGATAAAGAGGAAAGGCAATAGGGAGCAGCTGAAGAAGGAGATGAGAACAGGGAGGCAATGGAGAGCAGCAGGCACGGGAGTGCGAGGAGGGGAGGTAGATGGCCAGCAGCTACTGACGGGTGGACCAGGGGTTTCGGGTTCAGTGCGATCTCCGAGAGAATGGGGATCTGCATGGGTGGGAAAGGGAAGTGGAGGTTCTATATCTAAATGTGGGAGAGATAGGAACATTGCGATCTCAAAGAACATGGGGATCTGCAGGGGTGGGGAAGGAGGGTGGAGTGGAGGTACTATCTTCTAATGGGAGAGAGATGAACACACTGCGATTACAAAGAGAATGAGGACGTGCTTGTAAGAGGGTGGCAGAGGGCACAGGAAGGGGCGGTGGAGCAGGAGGTGGCAGAGGGCACAGGAAGGGGCGGTGGAGCAGGAGGTGGCAGAGGGCACAGGAAGGGGCGGTGGAGCAGGAGGTGGCAGTGGGCCAGGAGGGCGTGGCAAGGGACATGGCAGGTCCCTTACGCAGACTTGATAATGGGGAGGGAGATGAGCATAGTATGGTCATGAGGGAGATGAGGGGCATGGGGGTCATGGGGAAGCATGAGGGGTATGACGAGGGGCATGGGGGTTATGGGGGAGCATGGGGGTACGATGCGGGGCATGGGGGTTATGGGGAAGCATGGGGGTATGATGCGGGGCATGGGGGTTATGGGGAAGCATGGGGGTATGATGCGGGGCATGGGGGTTATGCGAGCGAGGGGCATGAGGGCCATGCAAGGGCCCTGGAAGCAACGGGCCCTTACAGGCCGCACGGGCGGCACAAGGAGAGGAGCACAGTGCAAGGTGGTATGCACTAAGGTGCAGGGTGTTTTTGAAAACAGGATGCGTCTGGAATGCAGGAGAGGAGCACAGTGCATGGTGGTAAGCACTATATGAGTAACAGCAGGATGCGTCTGGAATGCAGTGGGATGGTGGGACCGTTCGAGAGAGGACAGCAGAGCGCTGTGAATGGACACAAGGCAGCTGTGAATGGACACAAGGCAGCTGTGAATGGACACAAGGCAGCTGTGAATGGACACAAGGCAGCTGTGAATGGACACAAGGCAGCTGTGAATGGACACAAGGCAGCTGTGAATGGACACAAGGCAGCTGTGAATGGACACAAGGCAGCTGTGAATGGACACAAGGCAGCTGTGAATGGACACAAGGCAGCTGTGAATGGACACAAGGCAGCTGTGAATGGACACAAGGCAGCTGTGAATGGACACAAGGCAGCTGTGAATGGACACAAGGCAGCTGTGAATGGACACAAGGCAGCTGTGAATGGACACAAGGCAGCTGTGAATGGACACAAGGCAGCTGTGAATGGACACAAGGCAGCTGTGAATGGACACAAGGCAGCTGTGAATGGACACAAGGCAGCTGTGAATGGACACAAGGCAGCTGTGAATTGGCATCGCTTTCAAGAATTCTACAGAATGATTTCGAGAACGCGGATGTTGACTGTGGATGGACTGACCATGTTGGTGATGGCATGGCCAGAGTAGGCAATAGCCGGCACGCGGATCCACTCCCTGCCTGAGTGCGGTGAGATGGAGATCAGAGACGATGGGCATATAGCAGGCACGAGGGATGAGACATGTGGGGTGGGGCATGTGGGATGGGGCATGTGGGATGGGGCATGTGGGATGGGGCATGTGGGATGGGGCATGTGGCATGGCATGTGCCACAAGACATGATAGCATGACCAGAGTAGGCAATAGCCGGCACGCGGATCCACTCCCTGCCTGAGTGCGGTGAGATGGAGATCAATGCGGACGCATGGGTGATGAGACATGAGACATGCGGGATGAGGCATGAGGCATGTGGCCATAAGACGTTGATGAGAAATCGACATGGGACATGGGGCATGTGTGGAATGAGACATAAAGCAGTATGATCCATCAGTGCAGAAGACGGGGCGAATAAGAAGGGGATATGCAGTAACAGCAACTCACAAGCTAGGAAAGAGAGGAGCCAGGGGTGGGGGGGCGAGCATCACAAGGCGAACAGCACAGCCTACCAGTGCAGAAGGCGTAAATAGCTACGAGGAAGAAGGGGACGTGTAGCAGGAACTGAGAGATGACGAGGGAGAGGAACCACGGCTGGGGCGAGCCTGTGAGGGGGAACGGGATGGAGAGGAGGGGAGGGGATAAGTAGAAGAAGGGATAAACGGTGCATTGAAGTGACCAGGGTGCACTAGTCCTGAGGCGCCTCAAAAGAAATAAGGGGACATGCAGGAGGAAGGAACTGGGAGATGACGAGGGAAAGGAACCACGGCTGAGGGGGAATAAGCGATGCATTGAGGGGGAATGGCAGCAGCAGCTGGGAGCAGATGAGGAAAAGGAGCCAAAACCCTGGGGCGAGCGTGTGAGGTGGGTGGGAGCAGAAGAGGGGAAGAACGGTGTATTGAAGGGGAATGGCAGCAGCAGGTCAAAGGAAACAAGAGAAGGAGCCACGGCTGGGGCGAGTTTGCAACACGGGTGGAAGGAGATGGCCGGATTTTCGTGCTCAGGTATTTTCCGCCTCTCACAGAGTTTACTAAACCCTTCAGAGAGGGAGGGGGTGAGCTCGCTAATCGACTTGGGAATTCCTATAAGGCCTTCAAGTGCAGTATGGGAACACAGTATAGCAGCCTAGTTTCAACGAAGCTTACGACGAGGAAGCTTATAACAGATAAGATCCTCCCCGAGGTCCACTTGCCACGAAGTCACAGCACGTGCGAATCACATTTGACACAAGGCCGTAGCGTGTTCTCTATGCGCGCGGCGTTTTCTATATGCAGGTTCAAAACGAGAGAAATTTAGGTATCTAATCTCACCAACGAGGAAGTCCCCTGAGGTCTCGACGTGCCACGTCACAGCGCGGCGTAACGCCTCTGGGAAGAGGGCACGTGGCAGCAGCATCTGCGCGTCGATGAGAACGGCAGTGAGCACGTGGACGGCGAAGAAGAGCACGAAGAATGCGTCGAACGGACGCTGCGCGAGCGGCACGGCTCGCGTGATGCTCGTCGTCGTCGTCATGATGATTGCGATAAGAATGTGCGAAGATGCTCTACAAAGGCGTGAAAGATTTTTTTTTTAAATGGCGATGCGGAGATTCCTCTGAGGCGCCGAAGTGAGCTGTTGCTACGTCGTCCGTGGCGCTACTCGGCCTCGTTAGATCGAGCCTCGTTACAATGCGATACGGTGAGCGGGCGCAGCGCGCGCCCTAAATACCTACTAAGGACGCGTTTGTGAGAAGTCTCGTATGGGTCATCCGCAATCGTGATCCATAGCTCGAAAAAAACAATGAAGTTACAGTACTTACATCGAACCCTGATGAGATGACCCGCTCGTGCGTTCCAGATCGGTTCGAGACGTGATTGTTGCTAACTTTGAATCACAGAACGGTGCAATAATACGATGCAGTGATGTGTCAGCCTTCACAGACGAGACGGGTCGAAACTTACGAACATTAGCGAGGATGAATTCGCTGTACGTCGCTGTTCCCGAGTGGTTCAATTTCGGGGTTCGCGAACGAATCTGCTGTCGTGAACGCCTCACTTCACTCGCGCTCCAACCTTGGATTCTGGAAAAGCTGGGAAAAGTGGTGTTGCTACATCAGTGCATCCTGGCGGCAAGCTCCCTTAACCGACGACATTCCGCTATTGTCACACCATCCGAGGGTGTTCGACGTTTTGGCATTGCCCTCGCTATTATCGACTGTCGTTGAAGTGGAGACCTAGCGGAGGTCACTGCCGTGGTGAATCGTTGGCACAGTCTCGATCACTTGCCGTGGTGAGTACCATCACCGAACACCCGTAGTAGCGGCGGACACGCGGAGGTTGTTATTGAAGCGCATTTCGCGAGCGCGAGGAGAATGTTAGGGTTGTTTTCATGGGATTAGGGTGAACGACAGGAGAGGGTGAGGCTGTAGTCTGGCGGCGCGATTCCTTGCCCCATTCCCAAAATAAGCCGACGGAAAAGTGAGAGACGGGGGGTTTGCGGCTTACCGCCTCAGTGGATTGTGATGCATCAGTGCTAAAAACTGTCTTTCGTGAGTAACGAATGAATAGCTTCGGTTATTTTGGTTCCGTGACGCTATTCATACAAATCGACTGCTTTTGACCCGTAGGCTCATTAGACCGCTTTAAATTCGTCGCGTTGGGACGTCGAAACGCGGAAGCTTGTACCCATACACCCATGGGCTCTCATGAGGCTTGGTTGTTATACCCCTACACCCGTGGCAGTTTGGTTGCTTAAACCCCTCCGACCCCTCGCACCTTGTCCCTCTTGTCCCTTCCCGTTGGCATGCTTGCTTCCCCATTCCCCTTCTTCATTGTCGACTGATTCCGTATCTCCTTTCCCCGCCTGCGCCCTTCTCTCTGAATTCTCCCGCTGACTCTGTCCCTGCTCTCTTCCTCCTGCTTCGCCTTTGTGCTCTCTTCCTCGCCGCGTTCACTCATTCGTCGCGCCTTTCCAACCACCCTTCCCCTCCTCCCCCCCCCCCCCACACCCCATCCCGTTCCCATGCCTTCCCGCTTTTCTTTTCCCAACACCTCGCATCACCGCCCATCACCGCCCATCACCCTCGCCACCCCCCTCCTAACCAGCTGCCTGCCATCACCCCATCGCCATGACGCGGGCGCGGAAGCATGTGAAGGCGAGTGCGCTGGGCGAGCGTGTGAGTGTGGGCGAGGGCGAGCAGATTCTGCGCGTCGCGGCCCCCCGCGGCAGCAACCTCATCGAGGTGAGGGGGGAGGGGGGTGGGTGGGGGGAGGAGGGAGGGGTGGAGGAGTGGAGGAGTTATCGTGGAGGAGTGGAGGAGTGACCGTGGGGGAGGGAGAGCAGATTCTGTGCGTTGTGGCCCCCGGGGGCAGCAACCTCATCGAGGTGTGTTGACTGTAGAGGCGCCTCAGAAGGCGGGTGCACTGGGCGAGCGTGTGAGTGTGGGGGAGGGCGAGCGTGTGAGTGTGGGGGAGGGCGAGCGTGTGAGCGTGGGGGAGGGCGAGCGTGTGAATGTGGGGGAGGGCGAGCGTGTGAGCGTGGGGGAGGGCGAGCGTGTGAGTGTGGGGGAGGGCGAGCGTGTGAGCGTGGGGGAGGGCGAGCGTGTGAGTGTGGGGGAGGGCGAGCAGATTGTGCGCGTTGTGGCTTCCCACGGCAGCAACCTCATCGAGGTGACATGAGGTGGTAGTGTGGGAGAGGGGGGGGCAAAAGGGGGGAGTACGGAGTGGGGGAGGAGGCAGTGTGCATTCAGGTGGAGCAACCCCATTGAGGTGGAGCAACCCCATTGAGGTGGAGCAACCCCATTGAGGTGGAGCAACCCCATTGAGGTGGAGCAACCCCATTGAGGTGGAGCAACCCCATTGAGGTGGAGCAACCCCATTGAGGTGGAGCAACCCCATTGAGGTGGAGCAACCCCATTGAGGTGGAGCAACCCCATTGAGGTGGAGCAACCCCATTGAGGTGGAGCAACCCCATTGAGGTGGAGCAACCCCATTGAGGTGGAGCAACCCCATTGAGGTGGAGCAACCCCATTGAGGTGGAGCAACCCCATTGAGGTGGAGCAACCCCATTGAGGTGGAGCAACCCCATTGAGGTGGAGCAACCCCATTGAGGTGGAGCAACCCCATTGAGGTGGAGCAACCCCATTGAGGTGGAGCAACCCCATTGAGGTGGAGCAACCCCATTGAGGTGGAGCAACCCCATTGAGGTGGAGCAACCCCATTGAGGTGACTTGAGTTGGTCTTCTTGGGTGGAAAGGGGAGACGAGGGGTTTGGGGGGCCGGGAAGAGGGGGTGCGAGGGAGGGGGGGAGTGGAAGGCGGGGTGCAGTTCAGAGGCAGCAACCTCTTTGAGGTCAGATGAATTTTTGTGCTTTTCTTATTTTCTCTCTCCTCAACGCCTCCCTTGCGCTTTCCCCTCCTCTCTACTCCCCCCCTTCTCCCCTCCCCTGCACTCTCCTCCTGCCTCTTTATCTGCTGCTCTCTCCCCTCGCCCCCCTTCTCTCTCCCCCTCTGCCTCCTCAGCTGGAGGACGGTAGTGGCACGGCCATGCTGTGCATGCTGCCCGCCAAGTTCCACCGCATGCTGTGGCTCAAGAGAGGTGAGAGTGGGTTGAGCGAGGTGAGAGTGGGTTGAGCGAGGTGAGAGTGGCTTGAGCAAGGTGAGAGTGGCTCAAGCAAGGTGAGAGTGGGTCAAGCAAGGTGTAAACTGGTCAAAAAGGTGTGTGTAAGATGACGAAGCAAGGTGGGCATGGGTGACGGCATGGGCATGGGCACGGTTCGACTCTCTCAAGAGGTGGTAGCGACTCTAGAGAGGTGTGAGCAGTAGGTAGCATCTATTTGAATCTGTTTCTTATGCGCCAAAAAAAGCTGCACCTTTCGCGCAGCCCTGTTCGTGGCCGAGTGTGGGCCCACCCACTCTTAACCATGATTCCGTTCTCACATTCTGTGGTGTTTTGAGTCGACTCAGAACACGATGGTAGATGGCCGCTTGGACTGTGATTCTGTTCTGCCATTCTCTTCCCATTAGACTCACCAGAGCGGCAAATGTCGAAAAAAAATGTTGCAAATTTTGAGAGATATAGTTGAGAGATTTCGTTATTCTTCTCAATGAGCCCCCATGTTCTCCTGACTGGCAAGTAATATCCCCTACTCGCTACACCGCATCATCACGTTTTGCCTTATCGGTCTCGCCCTTTCCCACACCACCCCCCGCCCACCAGGCAGTTTTGTGGTGGCAGACGTGAGTGCAGCAGAGGAGGTGGATAAGGCGGGAGGGAGAGTGAGAGGCAGCATAACGGCTGTGCTGTTTGATCATCACATTAAGGAGCTTGTAGCCTCCAATCAATGGTTCGTAGGGCCGCTTTCCATTACATTCAAAAGGAGACTACAAGGCACCATAGGGCAGTTCTCTCTGACCGCCACTTTGAAATGTTCTCAAATCTCCAATAAGTGGTTCGCAAAGAGCGATGGCCTGTTGCTTGTCTTTTCTCATTTTTCGTCCATGTGTGTATTGATGCAACGCCGTTTGTTCTTGGTGTAATGCTTTCTACATCTACTTTCAAACTGCAGGCCAGAGGCATTTGCAGAGGCAGTGGTGAAGGAAAGAGCCGGAGCATGAGTAGCAGCCCCACAGGAGCATATGTCTTTCGAGTCAACTCAAAGAAACCTCCCTGTTTTATCCATTTCTCTCTTTGGTATACCCATTATTCAAATGGCAGGCCAGAGGCATTTGCAGAGGCAGTGGTCAAAGAAAGAGCCGGAGCATCAGCAGCAGCCCCACTGGAGCAAAGCCAACAGGAGCCACAAAAGCAAGGTGCAGAGCGCAGCTCAGCTGGAGAGGAAGGGCAGGGTTTGCGGAGTTCCCGAGGTGGTGCAGAGGAGGGGAGAGAGGAGTCAACGCAAAGGACAAGAGGAGATGGGCAGGAGAAGGAAGAGGGTGTGGGAGAGGAAGAGGAAGGTGACGATGAGGAGGACGATGGATTGCCTCCTTTGGAGAGGAATCCAAATCATCGACCAATGTTTGTGGAGGAGGATGGTTCAGATGAAGACAGTGAAGAGGAGTAAATCATGTCAATCTCTTATCTACATGCATTTTTGTGCACATTACTGTGTATTGAAACATCATTTGAAATGCCCCTTGAGAAAATGAACGAGAATGAAATGACTAAGTGAAAGTTGGGTACAAGTGCAAACCCTAGAAAGCTATACCCCATATGTTCTACCCCACTGTAGCCTACAGCAGCTATGTCATATAAATCTGACACACCCCCATAGGCAAAGTGGGGGAGAACAAGGGGTCACAAGACCAGTCAAGCAAAGCAAACCAAGCTCAGGGTGGATCACAAAGTCACCACACATTCCAAGCACAAGTTCAAGGCCACAAGGCCAGTTCACATGCAGGATTACATATATATATAAGGCTCGACAAGCAAGAGCACGTGAATATATGTATATGTAACAGTACAAACAAGGGCAAAGGGTGAGCAAGTGAGGCAAGGCAGGCACAAGACCCAGCTGAGTACAGAAGCGCTGATGGTCACAAGGCGCAAGTGCCTTGGTGAAGATATCAGCAGTGTTGGCCTCAGAGGCCACGTACGCAAGACGCAACTGACCACGCTGCTGTAGCTCACGAGCAAGGAAGTAGCGAAGAGCAATGTGCTTCATTCTGTGCTCCAATCTCTGCTCCCGACACAAGGCCAGCATGGCCTTGTTGTCTACGTACAGCACTGGAGGAGAACGAGGCGGCTCTCCGAGGTCAGTCAGCAGATAGGTGAGCCAACGAAGCTCCTGTGCAGCCATGGCTCCTGCGTAGATTTCAGCCTCACAGCTGGAGCCGAGAACAGAGGACGAGCGGGTAGCCCGCCACGAGACAGAGCCGGAACCAAGGCTGAAGGTGTAACCCTGTGACGACCGCTGCGTAGCCTGGTCGTCAGCCCAAGAAGCGTCTGCGTGCCTAGTGAGGACTACTGGACTCTGCCCTCCAAGCACAAGCCCCATGCCGGACGTACTGCACAAGTAGCGCAACACCCTCTTCGCTGCAGCCATGTGCTCCGGTCTGTGTCTCCCAGGAGCAACATAGCGTGCGAGAATGCTAAGAGGGTATGCAAGGTCAGGTCGTGTGCAGGTCATCAGGTACATGAGGCAGCCAACTACCTCTGGGTACGGGCCACTCGACTCTACAGACTCATCCAAAGGCAGAGCTAAGAGCGAGTGGCGAGTAGGCAGAGGAGTGGCCTGAGGCGAGGAGTACGTGAAGCCGAAGCGCTGAAGGACCTGCTGCACCATGTGTGACTGAGTCAGGGTAATGGTGCGCTGTGCTCTGTCCCGGGTGATCTACAAGCCAAGGTAGCTGCGCAGTTCACCCAGGTCTGTGCACGTGTGTCTCTTCTGCAGCTCGGACTTCACGTGGGCGAGTCCAGCAGTGTCAGCTATGGCAAAGACCAAGTCGTCGACGTACACGAGGATGTAGAACGGCGGCAAAGAAGTGTCGGTGCGCAGAAACAGCGACGGGTCGGCAGTAGAGGGAGCAAACCCAAGAGCCGCAAGTGTAGTCCTCAGCGTGTCGTGCCACTCACGCGGTGCCTAGCGGAGACCGTAGACTGGCCGCCGGAGGTTCCTGTGGGTGCCAAGAGGAAAAGTCCCAGTGAAGCCAAGTGGGCGGCGCAGCCAGATCTCCTCGTGCAGGCTACCCTGCAAGAAAGCAGTGCTGAAGTCAAGAGAGTGTAGCTCGTAGTCACGGTGAGCAGCTATGTGCAGCAGTACCCAAAGAGTGGTCATCTTCGGGGTGGGAGAGAAGGTCTGAAAGTAGTCAACTCCCTGCCGGTGACTGAAGCCACGAGCCACGTAACGCGCCCTGAAGACAGGCGGAGAGCCCGGCGGCCGCTTCACCCTGAAAATCCACATGCCACTGACGATGTTCGCCCCAGGCGGGGGAACCTCGTCAACGTAGGTGCCTGTGGACTTCTAGGAAGCCATCTCTGCGTCCATAGCTGCGTGCCACTGAGAGGAGTAGGGACCCTCTATCGCCTCCACATAAGAGCGCGGACTCGGGATGTCAAGTGCATCCGGGTCTCCCTCAGGGGTAAGCAGTACGGACACGAGATGAGGTGAAGCAGCAGCCAGACACTAGAACTCCTCCTGCCTGTCCTCAAGGACGTCCGTGCCAAGGGCACACTCACCCGCAACGGACGGAGGACAGACAGACTTAGACTCAGCAACAAGACTAGCAGCGTAGTCTAGGCGATAGTGAGCAGCAAAGTCAACAAGCTCAACAACTAGGGCAGACGCAGCAGCGGACTCAAAGGAAGGGTCAGTGAAAACTATAGCAAGGAGACACGTGACAGTAGGAATGGCAGCACAAAGGGAGTCCGACTCCGGGTCGGCAAGAGCAGGAAGAGAGGACTCAGGAGGAGAAGGCAAAGGGGCACGCAGAGGAGCAGCGGACGTACGTAGAGACATCCGGTGCGTGCCAGGGACAGGAGGAGGACGCTGACGCGAACCACGACCACTAACGCGAGCAGCACGGACAGGCAACGCAGGGCGAGACGCACGCTCACGACGCTCAGCAAGACCTCCAGTAGGACCAGTGTAGGGAGAAGGAGCAGGCAATGGGGAGGCCGATTGTAACTGTAACTGTGACGGGACAGGCCCAGGACACTCTAAGTGAGGAGTAGGACCAGTAGAAGGCGGGAGACCAAGAACCTGCTCAAGGAGTGGAACGAAGTATGGTCGAGGCGGCGCGGCGACTCCAGACACAGCAGGGACAGCACCAGTTCCCCAGCGACAGCACCAGCGCCAGCAGCACCTCCAGCTCCAGTAACTTCAGCACCCCCAGGCGTAGCACCCACACGCTAAGCACCCCCAGAGTCAGCACCCCCAGGCTCAGCACCCTCAGCAGCACCAGAGTCACGAGCAAGCTCGACAGGCTCGGCTGCGACTACCTGGGACACACTTGAAGGGGCACGACCCTGAGGGGGTAGGGGGTCTACCGGGGGGGGAACCTCGTATAAGGAAAAGCGGTGGCGGGGGGAGGGACGGAGTGCGGTAGGGGAAGAGACGGTAGTAGGGGACCGACTTGTCAAACGTGACGTCTTGGGAGGACAGAACACGGCGAGAGGTGGGGTGGTAGAACTGCCACCCTCACGCGTCAGGGGGGAAGCCAAGGAAGACGCAAGGAGCAGCACGAGGGGACAGCTTGTCCGCAGACAAGTCGCGGACAAACGCCCGAGATCCCCAGACACGGAACGCAGACCCATCGCCAACCTTCCCCGTCCACAGCAAAGCTGGGGAGGTCTCCGGCATGGAGACCCTGGGCTGAAGGCTGATCTGATGCACCGCGTACCGAACCGCAAACGGCCACAGAAAAATTGGGGGCAGCCGCATGCAACATGGACGTACGGGCGACGTCCATGACCATGCCAATGCAGCGCTCAGCAATCCCATTTTGCTGTGGAGAGTCCGGAAGCGTGAAGGTCCGGCGGATGCCTCGTGCACGACAGTAGGCTCGCAGAAGGCCAGGAGAACTCTCCGCCTCTGTCAGAGTGCAGACGCAGAACAGGAAAGTCCGAGCCGAAGCTCTGCCTGAGCTGGAGACGAGCTGCGCGGATCTAGTCGATCAACACCTCAGTGACATCACCCTTGCTGCACAAGGGGAAGACTGTGGTGTAATGCGAGTAGTCGTCAACCAGCTGCAGGAAGTAGCGCTCGTGACCCTGTCCACGGACGCGGGCCGGGCCCCACAAGTCCATGTGAAGCGTCTGCAGCGGGGCCTCTGTCGGAGGAAACTGGGAGGAGTGAGGGGCAGCACGCTGTTGCCCCTCGACACAGGGGACGCAGGTAGGGGCAGGCCCCGGAGGAAGGGGAGGGAGGGACCGGGGAAGACCAGAGACAAGGACACGGGAGGCCATGCCTCGGAGAGGAAGCAGGGAGGGGTGACCAAGGCGGTGGTGCCAAAGGAGAGTCTCGTGAGACCGGAGGCGACACGAGCAGGGGGCAGACTCAAGACCAGACCTGGACGCTGCAGCAAACACCTGACCCGACACAGTGACTGGAGGTGACTGAGTGGCCAGTGTGTAGAGGCTCTACCCCGACCAACGTGTAAACGTGGCCAAGTGTCGGCCCGTCCGAGCGTCCGTGCAGTGGGTCACACGCTGACTCGCAGGAGTGAACTGGTGAACCCCCGCATCCTGTAGGTCAGCACAGTCACCAAGTTCGTAGAGAACAAGGGGAGGTTAAGACTTGACAGGGGGCCGCTGGACACGGGAGGACAGTGGAGAAGTGAGCAAGGACAGGACCCCCAGAGGGGTCTGCCAGAGAGACTGCAACTGGCCGACTAAGCGGCGTGAGTGTGGTGCGGTCTCGAAAGAAGGAGTAAGAAGGCCCCGAGTCAAGGGTGAAGGTGTGGGAGGCCGAAGCCGACGCAGCACCTGAGAGAGCAGACTCACCAGCACCTGAGGGAGCAGACGCACCAGCACCTAGAGCAGCAGCCTCGCTAGCACCTAGAGCAGCAGCCTCACCAGTACCTAGAGCAGCAGTCTCAATGCCCGGATCGGGCTGAAAACAATGGTAACAGTCACCCTCATCACTAATAGTCACGGCATACATGCCAGCAAGAATAGCATCAAAGTCAAGGTCAAAGATAGCTACTCCCGCCCTAGACAGCTCGCCCCAGCGAGGGATCTCAGTGGCCTCAGGGAAGTGGTGACGCCAAGCGTCCGTCAGGCGGCCAAAGCAGCGCTGGGTGGAGTGCGCACCCCTGCACTGCTCACCCGCGCGGTCGCCGGTGTGTAGGACGTAGGTGCACGGACCAGTACCCCCACCCCGCTGGCGTGCAGCGTACCATTCACGGAGCTGCTGAGGGGGGGGGGATGTCACGAGTGCGCTGCTGCTGCTGCTGCTGGCGCTGACCACCACCGGAGCAGACCCTCTGCGCAGCGCCACCCCGACTAGCTCCGCCTTCTCCTCCGCCACCACCTCCGCCACCTCCGCTCCCACCGCCACCGCCGCCTCCGCCTCCGCCTCCACCGCCGCCACCGACACCTCCACCCCCGCCACCACTCCCACCA